TACTTTTCCAAAAAACACTGTGATGTTTGTGAGTGTTTAAATGTCATAATTAATATCAGGAGCATTAGATAAGGCAGCAGTCTTTTATGGCCCATGACCCCATTTTACATACCTCAATCTTATGACCCATAGCACTTAGAGAGTTGTCTAAGATTTCATGTAAATTTCTGTGTCCTTTGGTAATCTACTTTTAAGTGCACAGAAAAAATGAAATATTGCACCCTAGAACCAGTGTGTAGGTTATAGTGGCATCTAGCAGTGAATATTCAGATTGCAACTAACTGAACACTGTTGGCGTCTGTATTTGATGACCTGGGTCAACTATGGTGGTTGCAAAATTCATGAAAACCAAAAACCTATCCTTTTTTGGTTTGGTTTGGTTCATCCGTTCTGGGCTATTGTAGAAAAATCATACTACAACATTTGTAGATTAAAAAAACAGCTCATTTAAACATAATGAAAACACAACAATTCCTATGTTCAGGTAATTATACACCATTGAAAACATACCTATCAGTGTTTTATTCCATTTCTGCCGATAGATCCTCCTAAATGTTACACACTGGACCTTTAGTTAAAGATATATCTAACAAATGCCTGTCCTAAAAATGGTCTATGACTGTATATTAAGCAACCTTGCCACTTCCAAGGTTGAAAAACTCTGAGATATACTTCACCTCAGCACAGTGCCCAGCAGTGATGTTTAAGTGTGGGGAATTGTTGGCACTGGCGACTCACACCTCAGCTTGATCTGTCAGCAGTGAACATTAAGTGAAAGGGCACAGGCCTGTTTCCCTGAGCCTCTCCAGGAAAATAAACACATAAAATCATTATTTTGCCATCCTGCATTGCATAGCAGGATATTGCATTGCTTTGTGCTGTGCCATTCTGTTTGATATCTTCGGGGAAATGATTACACTCGGCATGATTTTGTTGTTATGTAGCTTAAAGGAGAGTGTTATTTGTGCTATCATAGCACTGCTATGGCTCTGTGTATTGATGTGTCAAGGCCAGTCTTAGTCTCTGGGCTTCCATCCCCCAATTATTTTTCTCATCGTCTCTAATTATACAACAATCTGGTGTCTTTGCTTCGACTTGTTTAATTCAGATGTGCTTGCTTGCGAGCGTACAGAGGCAGGCCAGCATATCCAGTGTCCGTGTAGGTGTGTTTGTATGCATGTGTGTACTGTATGTTGTTGGCTATAGGATCATGTAGTGTGCTCAGCTGGTTCTATTAGAGAATAGAAAGAAAGTATATAAATAAAACAAAATGTTAGCCACAGTCACACAGTGCAGAAACAGCATTGAGCATTTATAAATTAGATGACCATGGCCTTTTGACCAATTAGCCTCTTCCCTCTACAACCTCTGAATTTCCCTCACAGCTACCCTCTGCCTAGTAAGTCAAATAATCCTTTTGCGCGAATGAGCTGACCAGCTAAGCCCATCCAGCCTCTGCTGCTACACTTCTTGTCTTTCTCCCTCCACACCACGCAGTCAGTTTCAAGGTTCTCCTAATTATTTTATTTATTCATTCAAAGAAGATCTCTCATTCTGGGACTAAATTAGAAAGCAAATGGGAAAGAGGTGGTGCTGCTCTTCCCTCCCCTTTATGAATGTAATTGAATTGGCTCTGTTTTGGTGAATGAGAATGACTGTATAATCTGACTGGTTTATAAAGGTTGTGGCTGCCAGGGGGGGATTGGTCATGGTGCACTCCAGACAAATGTTCCCTTTGGTTATTTATTAAAATAGAAAAATGAGTATGTGTGGTTTTGGAACAGAGATAAATGACAATCATTAGTACAGTCTATATTGCTAGTTGTACACACCTTATAGGTATACAGTGCAAAAAAATACTTTTATGGGCTATATAACTATACTATAATTTCTGTTAGACATGATAAATATTATGTGAGAGATGTCTAATACAAAGCAAACACTGATTTGCAGTAAGTATAATACAACAATAAGGCATCCCACTACATTACCTAAACATCTTCTAAAGTATGGCTAATGGAATGAATTAGCTAGCAAACACCAGAGTATGTACAAATTAAGGCACTTAAGGCTTGTAAGGTAACACCTCCATTATTACCGCATTATACATTGACTGAACAGTTCAAACATACAGAGACAGAATAATGGCAGTATCAAAGTTTTTTTCTGTGCTCCACCATTATACAAATGATTACTCTCTGATATTAAGAACATGCAACAATATATTTGACAGGAAACTAACAACACATATCAGGTTTACTTTCTGGTTATTTGCACACACACAGTCTTGAAAGGAAACCCAGAAAGGGGCATGGCAAACAACAGGTAGATATATGATGCCACAATCTTTTGGCACCAGCTCTCCTTTCACCTGTTCACAAACTGAATGTCAGCCGTCTTCTTCCGCAACAGTGCTTCCTGATTGGTGGAGTCCCACACAGGCCATTCAGCCTCTCTGAAAATGTTGTCCTTCGTCATACGTTGTCTATTTAATAATAATAATGATACATTTTATTTAAAGGCGCCTCTCTGGGCACTCAAAGAACACCGTACAATACATATTTGGAGAGGAAGACAGCTTGAGAAACAGAGAGAGCAACAGAAGGAAGATTATTTAGGCTACCTGTATATACACTAGGGATAGCATGCAAGCCCTACAGCATGTGCTCAAGCAGTGCTCAATGTAGCAGAGGCCGCACAGGCTTGAGTTAACTTAGGCTAAGTGAATCGAGAAAGAAAATGTTCAGTGATTCTTCAGTAAGAGCTACAATAACTGTGCCAGAGGTTGATCAAATTAGGTTAAGGGCAATTACAGTATTATCAATTTCCTCTGTCTTTAGTCACATTTCACATTTGGCTTTTCATGATTACACTCCAGAGGTGAACTGGTTAACTGACTCCACATGCACACAGTCATGCTGATCCTTGTCTATGGCAAGGAATAGGTTATTGGTATCTGTCCCATGAATTTGAGTGTGATACTTCAAACTGACATTGCTGTTAGGCGCTAACCACACAACACACACAGATTAAAACACAGGTAATGAAATGCCACAGCAGTGAGAAATGGTAGCCATAGTGTTTGCTCCACCATTTCATTTACTCAGAACATATATGGGGTTTTCTCCTTGGTGGGTCAGAACTGGGTTAATTGAACCCACCCTTGGTATAGCTTGATATATTTACACACAGAGTGACAGCAGGTCTGTTCTACCTGTTTACTGGGTTAAATACTCTGTTAATGCAGCAGATTGGTATTGACAGATGGAGTTTTTAAAGTGAGTCCAGTCATGCATATTTGCCACCCCTCCATGCATGCACCTGCTCGCTCTCATGTCATGTATGTGTACAGGCATGGTATACAGGCAGAATGCAGGTTGAATGCAGTTTTTCCATCAGCTTTACATTCATACACACAGCCACAGCTTATTATTGGAATAAGTTTAGGTTTAAATGCCTTGCTCAAGGGCTAGTTGGCAGGTTTAGTGGAAAATATTGCATATATGAGCCCACGCCCCCATTTGTGCATGACACGTATTTCTGTAGAAACCACTTAACAGATAAAATAAGCCATTATTACTGTATTACACAGAAAACACTTTGGCTATCATATTTAAATTAAAACATCACAAAGTGCCAAAGTCTGCAGTTAAAGCAAATAACTGCAGTCATGAGAGTTACTTTTGTTGTTATTTTGGAGCAACAAAGTTTCTTTGTTTATTTGCTTTTTCCATCCTCATATTCTGGACAGAATATGCTGGGTTTTTGATTAGCTGGGTGCCTTGGTACACCACAGTAATTAGGCTGTCACTCAAAACCAGATGGCTGGTGGCTACAATGGGGAAGTCGTCTGAAAAGTTTGCAGATGAATCTCCTGTTTAGTTTTGTTGTTGTGGATCCACGAATAATTAAGGGATAAGAATGTAACTTATAGATACTTAATAATGAAGGAAATACCTAATACCTGTATGTTGTTATCTTTGCTGGTTGTTTGATTAATGTTTCAGCATAATTCATTTAGCCAGTTTGAGAGCTTCAAAGTTTATCATAACGCTTCTTTTTATCTAGATGCAAAAAGACTGGGAAAGCAGTAGTTGTACTATTATTTACTGTAGAAAAACCCTCATGGGTTATTCATTTAAGTCAAGTCTGTTCTACCAGGGCACTGGCTGTGTTTCCGACCAGATATACACTGTATCAGATATACTCACCCTGCATCCATTTATCTCTTTGTCTCTTCCCTAAACAGATTGTGTTTGAAGGAATTCGAGGCCAGAGTTTCGAGGGGGATATTGCCATTGACGACGTGTCCATCACAATAGGGAAGTGCAAGCAGGAGAACACAGTAGCCAGCGCAGGTAAGACAGGTAAGATAGACTTTTCTTTGAGTGGAGAAGCATAAACACCCAGAGAAACACAAAGAAGCAAATGTCATTAACTGTTTCCTCCCTTATTGTCTGTGTGTGTAGGCACATTCAGGTGAACTGAAATGAGGAAGGCAATAGGGTCTATATATGTTGATACCTTTTTGTTTTGGAAATAAATCACTTGCTAAGAAGCTGAAACAGAGCTGAATTAAACTGAACTAAATTGATTTAAACTGAAAAAACAAGAAAATTGAGGGGCAGCAGAGACATTACTGAGAAAAATAACTAAATGTCTTCTTTAGTGTTTGTGAGGTGTGGGAATATGGCACAGAGAGAAAAGGCTGTCAGTGTGGGGGCTGTATGGAGACAAGTGGACACCACAGGGCACCGGCATGGAGGCGATTTGGAAGCCTCATCATCATTTGCGCTCCTTCCTCTGCCATCCTATCATTTTATTTACTTCACATTCCCTCTATCTTTTCATCCTCTTAAGTTACCACACCACACCCCCGCTGCCTCCCCCACACCCACCTTCATTATATCCAGTCTCTCCTCCTCTTACCTTCTGTTCTCTATTAGCCATCTACCCTTTATCTCCATACCTCCGCACACTGCTCTTCATCTTTTAAAAGCTTCTGTTATTTACCCTTTGGAGAGAAAGATAGAGAGGACAGGGAGAAGGTGTGTAATGATAAGCACTGAGAGAGAAAGCATGAGTGAAGGAGAATGTCTATGCAGTAAGGGAATGAGAAGCACACCATCAGTCCACCAGGAAAGAATTTAACTCCATAAAGTGACCACAGTGTCTCCACACCACTCATGCCAACATGCCAGACAATTCAAGCTATCTGCCCATAAATAGAATACCAGAATACTATTTTGCTACTTATAGCTATTGTTGTTGACGGTCCACTTTGCCTCAAGGGTGAACCAGAAAGAAAAACAAGTGAGTTACAAGAAAATGAGTGCATGTCCATGTAAGCGTGGGGAGAGAGACTCAAATAGCTTAAAGCATTGGGGTGTGGACAAGAGACAGAGACAGAGAAAAGGTCAAAGACAGAGAGTGACCGAAAGTATGTGTGGATGTGTGTCTAAATGTGTGTGTGTGTGTGTGTAGGTGTGTCCGTGTGTTTGTGGGGGGCGGGTGGAGAGAGAAGCAGGTCCAAGACTCAAAAGAAGAAAGAGAATATGAAACTAAAACCTGCCAGCAGTTTAGCTACAGTAAGAGCTAATCTCTGCCAGCCAAGGCACACAAACACACACACACACACACACACACACACACACATTCTCATAAACATTCATTGCATTCTCTCTGTCTATACACATGCACAACAACAGCTCGTTGGCATTGCTCTCTTGTAGCACACTGCCATTGAATATGAATCAGTCACATGGGTCATTAATATGGTAGAATACACAACTTATCTTTTTATTGTTGTTCAGCCATTTACTTTGATTTATTTGCCAATGTATAATCTTACCAAAAATATGTAGTTTGTAACAGAATTTGTCATCTATTTTTAAGTGGAATTTCAGTGACTAGTTTTAGTCAAGTCAGTTTTGTTCATATGTTGGGTTATATGAACAAAATTAAAACCACAAATCACAAATTTAACTCAAATAGATTTCCCTCTGTAAAGCATACGATGGCCTGTATGCTTAGAGCCCCGATTCAGCTAAGGAAAAACTTATTTTAACAGGGAAAAAGGAAAAACTCTCAATTTGAGAAACAGTGGAGGAGGAACCTTCTTCCAGGAAGGGCAGGCATGCAATAGATGTTGTGTGTACAGAATTTTTGTACTACAAGCTCGATTTTATGCAGCAACATGTGGTGAGAACTTACATGGTCTCATTCACTTTTTTATTGCTAGGACCTACTACAAAGAAAGCATTAGAGCCATGGAAACAACACAAAACAGCAAAAAATGAGAGAGTGAATTATTAACAACATGATTTTACCTCCTCAAACCCCCAGCAGGAGTGTGTGTGTGTGCGCGCAATCTTGCCCATATGTGCAAAGACACTGGCGGATAGATTGAATAATGAATGAAGGTGTAAACAGGAAGCGGAAAGCTCTTGAGCTCTCCGAGTGTGCCCGTTTGCGCATGCATGTGTGTCCTGCAGGTTTTATGCAGGCAGAGACATACAGTGCAGACAGATGGGTAATTATCAGGAAGGAGAGTCTTTGCCACTGTAGGAAACACAAATGCATCTGTCTTGAGTACAGATTTTGCCACCATGGAGATGGCAAGGTAACTCAACTCATGTTTGCCAGGTATGATGAAATCAAAAGGAATATGATTTAGTGGAAAATGCAAACTAAGTTATAACATACCACCAATTACACTTTATTCAAGAGGCATAGGGTATCTTACAGCAGAGAAAAGAGCATATAAGACTTGACTTATAAAGTAATTTACATACTGGGCTCATTTGAGTCCAAACATTCTTGGTTAAGACAATTACAAGTATCTAATAAAACTCAGTGTAAATTCACGACTAAAACTAACACAATGGAAATATGCATACATATTATTTTTCTTACTTATTACATACAAAGCTGCACGTACATCTAGTTCTCAATCATTGTAAAACTGGATACACAAGGCTTATATCCACTCCTGCAGTTCGCCATAAATGGACATAGAAGCGACCTTAAACAAATGTTTGCATATTGATACCTGTGCACTCTCAGCCACTCACTAGACCTGTCAATAAGATGAACAATAGAAAAAGCGCAGTTTCACCCACTGTGCCGCATCAGCGAGGTTCTCCAACAGCATCCGAGCTGCTGTCACTATAGGTGACCATTACCCACTGCTGTGACTATTTATAGCGCCTATACAGTACCACTAATTCATCACACATACCTGTAAACCATCCTGGTAGTGATATCTCAGTCATCCTTAATAAATGTCAGACACAAACTCACTGATTCTGTTATTCACTGATCATTCTCAATGAATTCATACTGAAACAGACTTTACAAAGTGCTTCACAATTTAGGATATGAAGTGATCATCAACAGGGAAATTAAAGCTCAAATGAAAATAAAAAGAATGATAAAATTCAT